CGAGCACACTCGAGGTGGGATGAGACTGGACAGGATGGAGGGGTCTTCATGAGGTTTTGGCTCTTTCTAAACAAGAGGTGGGCAAGGAGCAAGTAGCTCTGGCCCCATGGGGCTGGTGGGAGCAGCTGGAGGGAGGAGGTGCTGCCCGCAGAGGGTCTCCCAGGGTGTGTGTGGGGCCAGAGGTGCTGGCACCGGGGTGTGCCCAGCCAGCTCCTACCCGCTGAGCTCCAGTTGGTCAGGGCAGGATGATGGTCCCTGATCATGGGACAGCCAGCTCTGGACATCTGGCCATGGGGCACTCATCTGGCCTCCAGCCATGGGCCGCTCAGCGTGGGGTTCCTGGTCATGGGGAAGCACCATGGGGAGCATCTCCAGCTCACTGGGACCCTCTGTTGCTCCCCTGCCCCGATCTGTGTGACCAGCTCTGGGTGATCCTGCTGTGCCAGGGGGAAGTTGGACTAGATGATATTTCAAGGTCCCTTCCAACCTCGAACATTCTGTGATTCTGTGATCTTGGGCGGTTTTTGAGCTTGGAAATCCTCGGAGAAGCCTCTTCCCTGGCAGAGGAGGGATGCAGTGGGCTGTAATGCAGGGCTGAGCCTGGTGGGAGGGAATGCTCGGTAGGACGGGGAGCTGGGGGTCTCACTGGGTGCTTATCCCCGTGGCTGGAGCGGCATCTCCTGATGGGATCATCTCTTGCCCTGTCCCCAGCCTATGAGCCATGGCTTACCACAGCTTCCTGCTGGAGCCCATCAGTTGCCATGCCTGGAACAAGGACCGAACCCGTAAGTACGGCTGGGGGACCTCACCCCAAATCCCCAGGGACAGCCCAAAGCAACGACTGTCCTGGCTGAACACCCCCACAGTGGGTGATACTGCTTGGATGGGACAGATCTGGGTCAGGGCTGGGTTTGGGGAAGCGGGTCCTGCCACAGACGGATTTTGAGGCTGCAACATCATGCGTCCCTCTGCATCCCCCTGGTCCAGGGGGATGAGCTAGCACAGCGAGTCCCAGCACAGTGTCCCTTACCGGAGAGGAGAACGGAATAGAGCTGGGTGATTCACGGCCGATGGCATTTCCCGGCCACGGCGCGGGGGATGTGGGAGAGAACAAAAAGGGCTTTCTCTGCTGCAGCCGGGCAGGCGGGGCAGGATGGGGCTGGAAGGGAGCTGACAGCCGCCCTATCCCATCCCACCATCCCCACAGGACCACATGCTGGGCTGTCAAGTCTGGGAGGTTTTCCCTTCCCTGTAGGAATAGTTTGCAGGAGCAGGGCCAGCTTTGGGGCAGCAAAAGGCCAGGACTGGGGGGGATCTTGGTGGGACCCCAACAAGCTGCACTGAGCCAGGAAGGAGCAGATGGATGCCAGCTGGTCCCGCTCCCCCTCCAACAGAGCCCATGACCCCAACTTTGCTCCACAGAAATCGCCCTCTGCCCCAATAACCACGAGGTCCACATCTACCGTAAGGATGGAGCCAAGTGGAGCAAAGTCCACGAGCTGAAGGAGCACAACGGGCAGGTGACAGGTAAGTCCCAGCTGATGGAAGGGACGGGGACACGGGGGGTGGGCTCTTGTTGAAATCCTTTGCAGAGCCCATCCTGCCTGGCTGCTGAAGAGGTCTGTGTGTCACCATGTTTGTGGATGGGACATGCAAAGCATTCAAAAACCTAGTAGGACCTACAGTGGGATGGGATGGGATGGAATGGGATGGGATGGGATGGGATGGGATGGGATGGGACGGGACGGTGTCAGGTGGGGTGGATGGATGTGAAGGGATAGGGACAGATGGAAAAGATGGCATGAGATGGTTTGGGATGGATGTGGGAGTAGGGTAAAGAGGGACTCTGTAGCAGAGACCACCCAGAACAGCTCTGGCCTCCAGCCCTGAGCGACCTGTCCCCATCCTCACGGCTCCCTGGGCCACCATCACCTCCCTCTGCCTTCCAGGCATTGACTGGGCCCCTGAGAGCAACCGGCTGGTGACGTGCGGGACTGATCGCAACGCCTATGTCTGGACCCTGAAGGGCAATGTCTGGAAACCCACACTGGTCATCCTGCGGATCAACCGGGCTGCCCGCTGCGTCAAGTGGTCCCCCAAGGAGAACAAGTTCGCTGTGGGCAGCGGCTCCCGGCTCATCTCCATCTGCTACTTCGAGCAGGAGAACGACTGGTGAGGCTCTGCCGTGGCCTCGCTGGATCTGTCCTGGGGGAGATGGAGAAGAGATGGGTGGGTGGGTG